GCACTTTGGGCCATGATATATTTCTCTTTTTTAATTCAGTCCCATCGGGGGGTTCCAGCAGGAATGGCCTGTTTAAGGTCAAAGATCAGATATTTTTAGTTCTTCCTGGCTTTAGAACAGGAGGTGATGTGTTGCTTTTTGAGATCTTTTAGCAAACGACACGTTTGGGATTTTTTTTTATTATTCTACAGGTCTGTGTGGCTGAGGGAGCTGGAATCGGCTTTAGATATAATATGATTAATACTAATAACTTAATAAGTCAATAGGGGTAATTCTTTTCTCACATAGGGCCAAGATGTTCCTTTAATAATTCTAATCATTTGAAAACAACATTTTCTGTTTAATGGTGCGCTTCACTCTAATCAACGTTGATGACTTTGCTTTACAAACAACACAAGCCTAACGGAGTTCTGCCGTGTGGTGGAGTTGCTAATGCTAACAGTTAGCTTCTACTAGCCGAGACGTTCGCTGCTGTTTCCTGGACGCTAAACCAACAACAGCCTTTCCCGTCACGAGCCAAGCTGGGTGAGTCCATGAATGTTAGTGACAGCGTGACGTAGATCTGTCAGGCTTTTCTAATCCTAGAGTTTCACCGTCTGTTTTCTATCAGAAGCTAATGCAGGGGATCGGTGTAGGAGACTGTTTTCATGTCACTCCGAGTGACCGATTATAATCAGATATAATCATTGAAAAATGTTTTATCAATGAACCTCACCTTTAATTCTGTTACCGTCTGACATTGACAGTCGTTTGCTAAAAACAAACAAAATCTCTTTGTTTTAAAGGGACTTCACGGAGTTTTGAATTTTTATGCTCACGATTGCCCCCTCAGGCCAAAAGTGTAACGGCAGCTTCAATAGTAGGCTCTGCACGAGGCGCGCATGCTGTACGTGCACACTCCTTAAGGAAAATAACAGCTGAGACAGTCCCGTATGTGTGTGTGTGTGTGTGTGTGTGTGTGTGTGTGTGTGTCCCAGAGGACAGGAGAACACGCAGCTAATTAATTAAATAATTTGGTTCTGTACCTTTCTCTTCAGCACAGCCGACAAAGGTTTAAGATGGGTCAGTCCTCCTGCATGCTCAGATCATTCCCTTCCCTTGCTTGAAAAATTGTTCCAAAATGAAAGTTGAACCCACATCTTTTTATCTGTGAGTTCAATGCCGTTCGGCGAGTTTCAAATAAAAATTTGGACGTCTTACTGTAAAAAAAATATACCATTAATATAAAAAAGAAACTCTGAATGAACTATGTTCACAATCAGAATCAAACCCAGGTCTTCAGCATGAGAGTCAGACATGTTACAAGGTGAGCTACACTCTAGTAACATTCACAGTATCTGTAACATTTATTGCCTTGATGACAGCTGAAACAACGTCAATCCAAAGAACGGTTCGGAGTGAAAATGGCTATTTTGTTGCTAATTTGCAGGAAATATCTAGAAGAAAGTTCTACAGAAAGTAGCTAAGGGTCCTCAGTAATGTAGCTAGCTTTGTCACTAGGCGTTAGGAACAGCGACAAAGTGGCACTGCCTCTCTCTCTGCTGCTAAAGCTACGGATAGCAAATGCTACGGGCGATGCCTGAGCGTGAACGCGCATGAAGCCGCCTGCTCGACCCGAGCATCTCTCTTTTTCTGTGATTTTACAGAAAAACAGGCAATCACAGTAAAAATGCCAGGGCTCATTCTACAGGACCAGGGCATTGCAGGAGAATGTATGAAGAAGACGTTTATTATTTCTATACATGTTTTGGCTGTCAAACTTCCATATTGTCCCTTTAAGCAAGACATTGCACACTGACCAGACCTTACAGGGACTACATGAGGGGGTGGGGCAGCTGAAAGTTAGGAAGGCAGGGGGGGGGGGGGGGGGGGGTCGCGCATCTAAACCAATTAGAAGCCAGACAGAACACGGGGAGGCGTGTCTGGTCTCAGATACAACTACCACCCTGATTGAGGTCAGAGTTGTTAATTTACTGGTGAATTAGAACAGTTAATAAGCATTTATTAGGGTGGCCAGGGGAGAAGAATTGGAGTGTGCTGCACACGTGTGTGTGAGCATGCTCTTTGTGTAGTTTGAGTTGCAACGCAAGAGATCACACACAAATACATGCAAGAGGCCAGCCTGCGTCTTTAGCGCAATTAGAGGCGTCACATCTGGTTCAATTGGAGCTGTCATGTAAACAGGCGGTGATGGGGTTGAGCCGAGGATGATGGGAAGAGGATTTAAACTTGTTATGAGGGAAGAAAGACCACCTTTCTTGCAGATTTCTATTTATACCCTTTATGTTTAAAACATACAAATGTGGTTCAAACCAACACATCTTCCTCCTTTTTCTAACCAGGCAGCAAATAAAAGTCCACTAATCCTTTGAATCCTTCGTCTCCACTTGCTTTTTTCCCATTTCTTTCATGAAAACAGGGAGCTGCGTTCATCTTCTCCTCACATCTCTGCAGCAGGATCTGCAGCCTGTTTTTCCAAGGAGAATTTAAACATTCTTTAATATTCGCTCTGTTGCCGTTTCCCATGATCCTCTCTGTTCTCTGCCCCGCTCCCCCTGAAGTTTAACACTGTTTCTCCGAAAGAGTCCTGACCGCTGACCCCTCTCTCCCAGGCTGGCCAAAACACCATCCATCTTCTTTTGCCTTCTTCAGTCATTTGTTGCTTTTTTGGTGTGTTTATTATTTTTATTTTTGGTCATCGATCACGTGTGCTGTTGCTTTTTCGGTCTTCTGTCTTTTTGCAGATGAAACACTTTGGCTCTCTGAGTTATGAATGGAGATTACGTGGAAAGATAGAAAACCTGGAAGGAGCGGATCTATTATGAATCCAACACGTTGGTTCGTTGTACCTGCTCCTCTCCGATCCTGCATATTTGCATACATGTGTGTTTTTGTCAGAATGAACACGTGAAGTGGAGCAAAGTACACACACACACACACACACACACATTAATAATCTTGTCTGTCAGTGGATTTGAACTGAGACAGGCTTTATTGGCACGGCCCTTAATAAAGCCACGAAACGCAGCCTGAAAACGGTAATTACGGCAATTACCGTCACAAAAGAAAATGCTTAAAATTATGGCAACACAAAGCTAAATACATCAATTCCAGCAGTTTCATTTGAGCTTAAATTACAGCCTAACACAGTTAGAAGTGTAACGAGCGTGATAACAAGTGTCTCTCTGTCTTTCTCGTGTCTCGCTGCAAAGAAACCTGTTGGCAAAACGTTGGCTTTTGTGCTCCTCTCACAAAGGAGCAAGTGTGGCATCTATTGGTCGACTTCTCGCTGCTTTCCCAGAGGGAAGAGAGAAGAAGAAGAAGAAGTCAGGGCAAAACTAATTCTGGGGAAACACACATGCGCTGTCCCTGAATGACACAGAAGCCTAACAAACACACACGTCGCAGTCGTGCGTGGGTGTGTGTGTGTGTGTGTGTGTGTGTGTGTGTGTGTGTGTGTGTGTGTGTGTGTGTGTGTGTGTGTGTGTGCGCGTGTGTGTGTGTGCGCGTGTGTGTGTGTGCGTGTGTGTGTGTGTGTGTGTGTGTGTGTGTGTGTGTGTGTGTGTGTGTGTGTGTGTGTGTGTGTGTGTGATGTGATCTTGGAGGTGACCTAGATTGAAAGTGGCTCTACAATAGATTCACAAATGCTTACTGTCTCCAGCTGATTCAGTGGACGATCTTTCTATCGATGGCTCGCTGAGATACTATCAGTGTGTGTGTGTGTGTGTGTGTGTGTGTGTGTGTGTGTGTGTGTGTGTGTGTGTGTGTGTGTGTGTGTGTGTGTGTGTGTGTGTGTGTTATCTACAAGGAAGGACAGGCAGCGATAAGAAGAAAGGGTGGAAGAAAAAAGGGGGAATTAAACAGAAAAGAGGGAGACGAGTGAAGGTCAGAGGGATTAAAGAGGAGTGGGCAAAGGTCAGACGGAAGAGAAAAGACACAGGGGGTGCACTTTCTCTCTCCACCTTTTGTTTTCTCAACCACACACACCTCGACACACACCCCATGAAAAACAAAAAAGCTGACAGTGGAGGCTGGGAAGCAGCCAAGGTGTCAGCGCTTTCCTTTGACCGGGAAGCGAGGGAGGGGAGAGAGAAGAGGAAACAAATAAAAAAGTGAGGGAGGAGAGAGAGGGGGGGGGGGGGGGGTGAGAGGCTGCCCTGGCAGAAAATCCTAAAGCCTCATCCCCACCTCCTAAAACTTTTACACTCATCCTGGTGTGTGTGCAAAACTCTCGGCAAGCACAGATCCAATTCTTACAAGACGGAAATTGATTCCCGGGCTCCACATGCAGGTGTTGCAGGTCTTAGCTCAGTCAGGAATAAACCAGACCCCGAGAAGAGCGCAATAACACCTACATAATGCATTCTACACAACCACCGTCCGAGCCGTATTCACGAGCGCGCTCGATACCGCAGGTGCAGTTTCTGCAGTGGAATCACCTGAAGCGTTCCGCCACGAGCGAAACACTGCTGCTGGAGTTCTGCCACCCCGAGGAAAAGCTGCTAAACAGTCACAACAACAAGAAGAAGCTGGCCCGTCGTCGAAGAAATCACCCAACTTTCTAGGGGAAGGGCTGAGGAGACGAGGGGAGTACAGAGCTGACAAAGTGAAGAGTGAACGCACACACTCGAGCAGCCTTGTGCCACCAGCACACAATGGAGGACAAAAGAAGAGGAGCATTCCCATCAGAGGAATCTGTCACTCGCTCTCTGTGAGGTGGCGAAAAGGCTTCCGAACAAAAACCCCAAAACACTTTCTCTCTCTCAAGGACTGCTGGTCGAGGAAAACCTTTTAAAGTCTCCTCTCCGGTTTGGGAGCTTTAGCTTTACCTGCCTCTGACTAACCCGCCCTGATTGATGTCTCTGCCATCTCTCATCCCGCTCTGCATCCCTCTCCCCACGTGCGTGTGTGTGTGTGTGCGTGCGTGCGTGTGTGCGTGCGTGCCTGTGTGTGTGTGTGTGTGTGTGTGTGTGTGTGTGTGTGTGTGTGTGTGTGTGCAGCAATCAACTTGCTGGGTCTGACATGGCAGCTGAAGCCCTCCGACGGCCCTCTGCTGAACAACGGACTGGGAGCTGGTCTGCCTGTCAACAGCGATGTGGCCACACTGCCCTCTGGAGGCAGAGGTATGATCTCTGGTGCACACACACTCGCATCAGAACAACACATTTCTTTAAAAGAAAACAAAAAAATGCACCCTAATAAGCATAAATGAACATATTTGATGTGCCTTGCAAATCAGATCTACACACTCTACGCCTCTGATGCCAAATGAGTATTAATTCCCCTAAAACTCACTATTTAGTCTTGAAATTAATCTAAAATTTGAGTCTAAAAAGCATCTTCAGAAAGAAACAATCTGGTTTGAATCTGATGTTTTCATCTACTTCAGAACAAGCCAACACATTTCTCATTTGCCATTCATTTAAAACCATTTATTTGTTGTATGAAACAGCTTCATCCACTTTTCCCAGCTAGCCGTGCAGCTAAAATATTCATGCGACGCTCCTGTCCATGTGTGCTGTTTAAACACTGCAGGTTGTGTCGAGCTATTTTCCAGTCGGCGGTGAGGTAAAACTACCTCACCCAGCCGCTCTCTTTAAAGGCCCCCATGCGGCTTTCTATCTGTTCTTCTCTCACTTGCTGGATCCGGCTCTGCAGCACGTGCAGCGTCTGCTGTGGATGTGTTTGGACTGCTGCTCTGTGTCTGTATTCTGCATCGATGAGAGGACTGTTGTGTGGTGTTCCCCAGTTGTCTCGGCCAGATGCTGCTGCTGCTGTTCTTCTCGCGGTTGCTTTTATTTCTGCGTTTCTCTGCACACACGCACTCGGTCTTTTCCCGTCTGGGCGCTGCCGCTGACACTTCCCTGTTAGATGGCTGACCTGATTGCAGGATGCTCTGTGTTTCTGTGTTGCTCTGAATTCTCGGCTCTGTCGGCTCTCAGCCCACAGCTCGGAGTCCTGCACGCTTCTGCATCACACTATCAGATGCATGCATGTGCTGAACATGTATGGGCGATCTGCATCTGCGTACAGCTGACTTCAAAAAGACAAAAATAGATCATTAATAGTTTACTTCTTTTTAATCTACCCGTTTCAGAGAGCCTGAAGCGCAAGTTGAGCTTCCTAACATCCTGCAACTCTTTTTTTTACAAATCATAACAGTTTGTAAATGCTTTTTTTATTCATGTAAATCTGCATTCATACTACAGGCAATCCAACATCTTTTTGGGTTTTTTGCCCATATTCATTTTTTATGACATCCCTAAGAGCACAAATCTGATTTTCTTCTCACTTCCAACCAAGAACCATTTTCATATGTTGTCCTAAATCAGAGCTAGCAATCTCCCTCTCAACGGTCACGTCGTGTTTAATCAGATTTTTTTGCATCATGGAGGGATGACAGATGGAAGAGTTTTGCTCCAGAGGAGGCAGGAAGTGATAAGATCTCACGTGACGTGTGCGGCGTCCATTTTTACTCCAGTAAACACACCGTGTGACATCCCACCTTCTCCTGCACAAGTGGGTCACGCTGACTGACTGTGGTCACTGTTTAGATCAAAATGAAAACAATCTGCAAAAGGAAATCAGCTCTCAAATAAGAATTTAGCATCGCTCTCGAGCCAAACTCTTCAGCACGAACCTCTCAGTGCTGCTTTTGAGGATTTTACCTGTTAATATCCTGAGGAAATGTTTAAAGAGACAATGTGTAGTTTTTACCATTAATCTCTGGAAATATCCATCAAAAAGGTGTTGAAAATGAATTAAATGATGTCCAGTTGTTGAAAAATGTTGGCAGCTTCGTAACATATAACCAATAAAATGAGTCTAAAATACGTGGGAGCGGGTCACATGGTGTTTCTAAATGCCAAGGAACCTTGTCTTGATGTCTTGGTCCCGCCCCGGTTGCCTAGGAGATACGTCATCAGGAACCGCCAATGCATGTTCCAATGTTCATGTTCTACCGAGGCATCTGTTCTCCGTTTGTTAGCCATTGAGCTAGCTGAGCAAGGATACACACGTGTCTTTTAGCTTGACCTCGGTCAAAATTTTCCCAGAATACACCGCTGTATTTTCAAATTTCCTGTTTAAATGTAAGTCAACTAACTGTAGCTATTGAGCTGATATCTGAAATGTTGTTATTTTTTTTATTTCCAAAGCAGTTATCTGTGGTTGGTTGCTTATTAGTTGCAGCTTTGGTGGCTAGCAGGTAGTAACTTGCTGACATGTTTAATTTAACCAATATGTACACAATTTAAAGAGCAAATGGGTCCTTATACATTTATATTATAACTTATACGTATAATGTTAGCTCACGTATCTTCTGATGCTACGTGACCACCGCGGAAGCCTCGGTCGCGTGATGCAAGTCTGTTCAATTTAACCGTTTTCTTTGACCAAGGACGGACCGTGTCCTCGACAGGACAGTGTCCTCCGTGGCTCCTGGCCTCACAAGACATCGCCTTGCGAGGCCAGACACCTCGACATCGAGAAACACCCAAAGAAAACATTTGCTTGTCGTAATTTAGGCGTGTACTGCCGAGTATGTGCTTCACGTGAGGCAACAGTCGTGGGTGCCACCAGTCAAACCTACCATCTGGAGATCATTTTTACAGTGTAATGCTTCCTGTAATTACTTTAATTACTGAAACCATAAAAATGATTTGATCCGACCGTTCCTAATGATTATAGAACATTCCGTTTCCTCTTTTCACTTCAAAGCGGAAAAATCAAACTTTAACTACTGTTTAATATTTAAGTGTGTATTAAGTGGATAAGGAAATGGCTTAACTATTCACAGAAATTCTTTTTAAAGGAGAATATTTTCAGTAAACCCTGATGATTAACTGTTGGATCAGTGCCGGTGATCACTGATTAATTGCTTTTTTTTCACTCCAGGTCCCTGGGTGGGTCGGAACAGCAGCATAGACACCGGTAACATAGAGGTGGGGAGGCGGGTGACCCAGGACGTCCCTCCAGGAGTGTTTTGGAGATCCCTGCTCTACCTCAGCCAGCCCCAGTTCCTCAAGTTCAACATCTCCCTGGGCAAGGACGCCCTGTTTGGCGTGTACATCCGTAAGGGCCTGCCTCCCTCACACGCACAGGTAAAGATCCGCAGTCCAGACTCAACACATCTGGGATAATAGAGTACACAGAGTTATTGTTTTATTCAGTATCAAAGCTGAATAATGAGGGAAGAATATTTATATTTCTCTACTAGAGTGGAATAAATTAAAAAATGAAATACTTTCTTGTTTCATTGGACATCTGAAATTCATTTGTGAATTTTTATAATAGCTTTTTGATGAAAAGAAAACTAATTCAGACAAAGATTTGCACTTAATTAAATTTCACAGTGATGCAACTTCCAACTGGCTTTTTAAATTAGAAACTACTCAATTAAAAGTAGATTTTATTTGTAGGAATGACTAATTTCGTGCTGCTAACTGTTTTGTGTCCTGACCTGACCTACGCTGGGGTGATGCAGCTGTTTCTGTTTCATGTTCATTCTTCCCTGGTAACTCCAGTCTTTAAAGTGGTCGTCATTTTGGGTTAGGGGGAGGTGAAAAATCCTCCTCCGCTCTTTGTCTAGTTTAGGTTTCAGATCAGACAAAAGAAACTGAACAGAAAATTCTGAATTAAATTCACTCTCGACATGAGCTAGTTTGTGTTTATTCTCTATTTTTTACAAGAATAAATTGGTAAATCTGCCCGCGTCTCTCCTACTCTCCATCCTCTCATATTGTATTTAAATATGGCTGAATTTACAGTCTAGCTGCTCTCCCTCACATCTCGCTCACAGCAAAATTAATCTAAAAATGACTGAAACAAGTTCATTGAAACTAAACTTTTTATTGCAGTTATTGATGGCTGATTGATCCTGACATAAATTAAAGACAACATCTGTGCTGTTGTTTCTTCCATCTGCCTCCTGAATGTGAGGCTGCTAATGCTAGTCTTAGCTACAGCTAACACTAGCCTAGGTGCTACTGCTGATGTTATCACAAGCTACTGCTAACGTCCTCGTCGGATGAAGGGAAAATAACAAAGAATAATGTGGGAGCACACGTGTAACGTTCCAGGATGTACTGGGAGTATTACAATTTTGAGTGAAAGCCAGATAGATCTGATCCACAGCTCGCCTGTTGAGTTATCCAGATACAGAGTTTCCAGCTTCAGGCATAGAGGCATCTGGGTAAACCAATCAGCAACAGTGACAACATAAAACAGTAGATTTTAAAATGATCCTAAAATATAATTTAAAATCCAAAAATAAATTTTGATTTAAAAAGAAAAGCCACATTTTTAAACTTGAGCAGTTACAATGCAAAAAGGCACTCGGACACCAAGATCCCAACTCCAAGGGAACTTTTACAGCTCTGTTTCTTTATTGTTGTTGTTGTTGTTGTTGTTGTTTGCAGGAAGTAGCTAAAGTTTGTCTTACAGGTATCTACGTTTAATAGACAGTTACTGTGTGAAGGCTGAGTTGGATGTATTTTGATATTTAGTTTGAAGAGCAGAAGATTCAAGTTGGCCCTTAAAACACACTTTTTCAGTATTGCCCTCCCTCCGTGACACTTTACTTGAAAATCCAGCACCGGGTTTTTATGAGTCAGTGGCTCACTTTTAACACCTCGCACCATCTCGTAGCTTTTTTTGGTGTTATTTGTGCCAAATGGTTTTTATCATTCATTGCATTATTTTTATTTTTGATAAATGTGCTGTTAACTGTTTTCTTATTCTATTGTTTTAGTAGGAATTTTTATCCTTGATTATTTATGCTATGTTTTTATGTATTTTACCTGATTTTCATGTTTTGTTGATTTGTTCAAGCATTTGGCTCTTTTATGTACAGCACTTTAGTTAGCTGCCATGCTATTTTGAAATGGTGCTTTATACATAAATTGGTAAGTTATGGTATGAATGGTCTGGCGATCTCATATTTACAGGTTATTGTTTCTGCAGTGTTTATGTAGAAACCTCCCTTCCCTCTTTGAAAAGTGAATTATACATTTGAGTCTCAGCGTAGAGAGACAAAATAAGGGAAAGGTTATAAAATGCCTAAATTTTGATGTATGGTTTATGTAGAAAAAAGACTCATAACCCAACCTTATTAATCCTCCAGCAAATATGTAAAGCACAAATCAATTAAGTTAAATGTAAAATAAGTAATTATTTACTATTAAATATTCACAAAACAGTCTAATGTCTCATTTTAGGAAGGTTACATTGAAACACATTTCCTTCTCAGCTGGCTGTGGGTTGCCAGGTTTTCTCCTTTTAAAAAGGCAGAAGACAGTCAATACCGCCTCCATACTTCCTGGTTCCATAGCCAATCATATTCAATCCCGCAGGGTTGCCAGGTCTATGCCAGCAAATGCTGCTGCGCCGGGTTTTGTAATTCAACACAGTGGCGTGCGGTCAGAGGAGGCACTTCCTGTTTCAGTGAGCGTGTGCGGCGCTACACCGTGAGAGGCAGCTCTCATCTCTTCCTCCAGGGGGTGCAGCGCCACACACACTTGATATTGAGAGTTGGCACATGTGCTCTGCCTGAATCAGTTAGTGTGTGTGGGGCAGCTCTGTGAGAGCAGACACAGTCTCGTCTCTGACTCTCCTCTCCTTCCTGCATGTATATTTGATCCGAAAACAGGTAAATTCAACGATTATGACCATAAACGGGATGTTATCTTACAGAAAACTAATGTATAGAGCAGTCACTGGATACACTGACTTTATATTAAATCATTATTAGAAACTTACTTGTCACAATGACAAGGGAGGCGTGCCTCCCCTGCCTCCTCTGACCGAACTTCACTGATTCAACACCAGATGGCAAAAAGCAGCAGCGTTGTGGACAAGAGCGACCCAGAAATTATTTCTTGCACCCCTAAGAAGCCACAGCATCGTTTTTGTTTTACGCTAATATCATGAAAAAATGCTAGAGGCTAACGTTGAGTTAACAATGCTAACGGTGAATTTACAAAATTTTCATATCTGAAAATATCCTCCAGCTACTTTTTAAATTACCAACAATTCAGTATTACAGTGAAATGTATTCATCTACTTATCAACTCACTGTGTGTGACTCGTCTTCACTCATCATCTGTAGCCTTGTGGTACTGTGATCCATAGCAGTTGCTCAAAGCGGACTTGTTTCGAAACATGGACTGCAGTACTTAGATTTGTCCACAGGGTGTCGTTCTTACATACTGCACCTTTAAATCAGTAAAAACATAAAAACGATAACCACTCCAGCTAAACTTTCTCCTACAACTTTACCTCCAGTATGATTACATGGAGCGCCTCGATGGGAAGGAGAAGTGGAGTGTGGTGGAGTCTCCGAGGGAAAGGAGGAGCATCCAGACTGTGATCCTCAACGAGGCGGTGTTTGTCCAGTACCTGGATGCCGGCGCCTGGCACCTGGCCTTCTACAACGACGGCCGGGAGAGAGAGACGGTCTCCTTCAGCACAAACGTCATGGGTGAGAAGAAGTCCACTTCATCGCCATCGTAGGTGGAAGGACAGCTCGTGACAGCTGTTTGGGCTCTGAGATGTGACTCAGAACCAGAACTTAGAGGCTACTTAGTGGAAAAAGTGTTATTTTTACTATCAGTGACAAACTACCCGGCGCCTGAATGACTTCGCACATTTAAAATGTGTAAAAACACAGCATGAGCATAAGCCGCCAAGGAAGAGAAAAAGTTGCCAAAAACTCTACAACCACATTGTCACAGAAGCAGGATTAGTTAGCGAGCTGTTTGCTGGACACAGAGGCATAGCTAAGCATGCATGATCAGTGAATGCACCTTGAGAGCGTTTCTAAATAAAAGTGTGCCACAACCCTCTAAAAAGGGAATGATTTTAGGGACGCGCAGCAGAGTCCCAAAGCATTCATACCTGCTACAGCAAGAGTGAGAGAACAAGTGGGGATGATAGAAAGAGTCAAGCGGAGTGAAAGAATCCTTCACTGTCAATATAAGGGGGCAGAGCTCTCTGCAGCAGGAGTAGATGGACAGAATTAGAGCTCATAGTGAGAGGAGGAGTAGGAGGAAAGGCATAATGGCGGGGGGAAACCAGAACGCAGTGAAGTGGACTGAAGGAGGAGGGTGGCATCGGGGTAAGAGGGAGACAAGGGGGTTCACATTTGGGGATTAAAAAGCCGGGGACAGAGAGGGAAAGAGGAAGTGTTGGAAAAGGAGGCTGCATGAAAAGGCTGAGTAGTGTTAAAAGAGTGGAAATTGGAAAAAGCATTTGGAGAGGAGGGCGAGATGGATAAAAGCCCAAAAACGCATCCTTGTGATTAGCATCGACTCTGGGGCTTCCCACCAAACGGTTTCTCTTCTTGTAAGTGGGTTAAGAGGCACTATGAGGCAGCTGAAGTCCTGTAATGCACACACACACACACACACACACACACACACACACACACACACACACACACACACACACACACACACACACACACACACACACACACACGGAGTCCAGCTAGCTCTACACTGCCGAGTCCAACAACCAAACCTGGATGAAGTATTAATGACCTTGGTTGAGGCAGGAGGGGAGTAAACAAGCAAGACAGAGGAGAAGTCGAACGCTGGTTTAAATTATGCTTTTGCCAAAAACAGGAAGCTGTTGGAGGTCCTCGCTTCAGCCGCGGAACAAAGCAATGCCACAACAAGCTATTTTTATCTAAATTGTGAGAAAATATTGAGCTTCTTTCCCAAAAGAGTCTGTAGTTCCTGTAGTTTATCCAGCCTGTCATCCTAAAGTGAATCTCGACTGTGTGTGTCAGTCCTGCAGAGAAACAAGCGCACCAAAACAACCCTTCAGCGTCTTAAGCATTTCAACTCCTGACGGTGTTCTGGGGACACTGGTGGAGGGGTAACGAATACTTTCTTGAGAGGAAAAAAAAAAAGAAAAATTAAATGCATTCTCATCGTAGACCACAATGAAAATTGCACAAAAGGAATGCATGAAATCCCGGAGGAGTGTGTTTGCGTTTGATGTTGGCGCAGCTGAGAGACTCCGAGCCGCTTCAATTTGTTGCATCTTAAAGAACGAACGGCGCCGATGATTTCATGGAACGCTTTGATGCCTCGGCGTCAAACTCTCTGAACCCTCTGTCTCACTTCATCTTCCTCGCAGACTCCGTGCAAGAGTGCCCGCGCAATTGCCATGGCAACGGAGAGTGCAACTCCGGCGTGTGCCACTGCTTCCCCGGATTCCACGGCATGGACTGCTCCAAAGGTATTAGCTGTTTACAGACTCGGTCAGGGGAGATGGGGCTTTTTTTTCCCGTTTCCACTGACTAATTAGATGAAGAGGTCTATTTTGGCTGCGTGCAGAAAAAAAGGTGGGTGGGTGGGGGGGGGGGGGGGGATTAAGAGCAGCACGGCGGCGCGTGGCCTCAGGTGAAGCCCAGACAAGATGACTGATGATGAATGGCAGCTCCTTGAGCTAATGACTCCCTGGCTCTCTTCTCACCTGGGATAGACAGCTTTGATGAATAGTTTAGTTACCTCTGCCTGTAATTACTCTTCATGTCATTGGCGCCCCCCGCTCCGAACCACTCTATTCCCCCTCCTGCGTGGTCGGGTGTGGATGCATGGAGGTTGGCAGCTTGACTTTTCACTGATCTGCAAAAACACCAGAAATCCTCTCTTTCCTCAGGGTCTAACCGCCTTCCTCTTTTCTGTCCTCTTCTCTCCTCCTCCAGCCGCCTGCCCAGTGCTGTGCAGCGGCAACGGTCAATACGACAAGGGCTCCTGTGTGTGTTACAGCGGCTGGAAAGGACCCGAGTGTGACATCCCGGCCACGCAGTGCATAGACCCTCTTTGCAGCGGCCATGGCACCTGCACCGATGGAAGCTGCGTGTGTTCTATCGGCTACAAGGGACAGAACTGTGCCGAGGGTGAGAGCTGAACTCATTTATGATGGATTCACCGGCTGAAATGTTTTAAACTCCACAGCTCATTGTGAGCGTCTGACCCCTCCATCCATATTTCCAGATGAGGTATGATGCTGCAGCCAGAAGACGTCAGAGACTTTATTAGGAGCTGAATTTGCTCCTATTGATCCTAGTTAGAAAGGGTCAGCACGTTCTCCGTCATCAGAAAGTCAAAACAGAGGGAGGTAGGGAGGGGGTCAGAGTTGGGAAAAAGGGGGAGAAAAGAGAGAGCTGAGAAGGTAAAGAGATGGTGACTGACAGAGGGAGTGAAAACACACAGCCTAAGAACAAGGTCAGCGTTCTCCACCTCCTCTCCCTCCTTCTCGCTCTCTTCTTCTTCTTCTTCTTCCATTTTCCATCTTCTTCCCTGGTCTCAGATCTGATATTCATCACAGCAGAGTCCCTCAAACAATTTACCTGAAGTGCCGGCGACATGAAAATCGATAACTGTGATCCGCCGGTTCTGCTGGGCAAACAGAAATGGAGGGCCGGGGTTACACACGGAGCTTTTATTAATATGTGTGCAAAAAATAAGAAGAGAAGAGAAGGGGTTAGTCGTTCCTGGGATGGGAGAGAGCAAAGGAGGGAGGAGGATTTGGGGTCTCTCTCTCTCTCTCACACACACACACACACACACACATTTGGACAAGGAGGGGAAGAAGTGTGTGTGACCGGGACAGTGCAATGACAGCAGGGCTGAGAGGGGTGGGTGGCGCTGTGCCGAGAGGAGGTAATTTGTCAAATTGGTTTTCACTCACTGCTCGGAGTCACAGCTGCCTGTCAACCTGGCAGACTGACAGTGTCAGATTCTCCCCTATGTGATGACACACACACACACACACACACACACACACACACACACACACACACACACACACACAAACACACACACAAAGGCCAGAATCAGCTCACACTGATTAATGTTTCTGTGGGGGTTTGTGCCTTTTTCACTGACATGAAAAACATTTGCTTTTACTCTTCGATTACACAAAAACATCTTGTAAAATAAATCTGTTTCTCTTCATGAAAACCTACTTTGCCCTCCTGTAGTTCCTGCCGTGCACCTGATTCAGGCTTTGGTTAGCTTTTTAGGCGTGCCAGTGCATGCGGAGTGAATAACCCCTATTGTGAGCCCGATTCTCTCACTTTTAGTCTGTCTTCATGCCCAAAAGCTTTGAAAAAAGCAACAAAAACATGCAAATTATACATCAAAGCACTTATTTCAATCACAGGTAGTGTGCTGGGAATTTAAATCAATCAATCAGATTTATTTATAAAGCGCTTTTCAAACAAAGTGCTTTACAAAATGACCCCAGATTCCCATAACAGGTTAAAAACAGACATATGCAAGCACACACACACACACACACACACACACAAGTAAAAATTATATTTGGCTGAGTCCAGATGAGCCAAGTAAGGTAAGGCAAGGAAACGCCATCAGAGGAGCCATCTGTCCCGGCAGGATCAGGTCTTCCACACTAAGTCAGGGCGCTCAGTGGAGGGGGAGCAGGGACCCCCACCTATAGAGGGCCCAGGAAGCTACAGTATAAGCATCAGCAAATGTCATATTTTTTTAGATTTTACCTTCAAACGTTCACCTTGTTGTAAAGATGTCACCGATTTTAACCTTGGAAGGGTTTTCACAAACAAACTTTCTGCTCCCACAATAGATTTACTACAGAGCAGGCCCCTGTTCTTGTTTTACCCAGCATACCTTGCTCTGGTTTAGTGCCTTTGAACTTGTCATTCAACCCAGCTTGGCATTTTTGTACAACAGCTGTTTGTGCTCCTGTCCGCCTCTCATTAAGTTCGCTGCCAGGGAGACGCGGGTAACTGGTTACTATGGTGACCGTTCAACACCAACAGCAGCAGCTTTTACTTTTCTGCTGAACTTTGTTCTCCTGGCACTTTTAATACAGTTAAAACATGAACACCAGCATTCAGTCATAGCTCATTAAGCTAAGTTTTTTGTTTCCATACAGTTAACATCCAGGTTTGTCTGGTTTGTTGCAGTGGACTGTCTGGATCCGACGTGTTCCAACAACGGCATCTGTGTGAACGGGGAGTGCCACTGCAAGCCAGGCTGGGGAGGGCTCCACTGTGAACTTCCCAGGGCCCAGTGCCCGGACCAGTGCCACGGACACGGCGCTTTCATTCCAGACACCGGCCTGTGCAGCTGCGACCCCAACTGGATGGGACCAGACTGCTCTATGGGTGAGTGGCGCCTGCGCCGCGTCGAAGGACTGAAAAAGGCAAACGCGTGGAGCGAAGACGAGGGGGTCAAAAGTCATAGAACAAACACCTACTCAGTAACTGTCGTCCCTGCTTAGTCTGTGGTCCCATGGTACATGGCTGTTTAGTTAGCCATTTTATTTCCATGCTGTTCTGGTTCTGGATTTGGAGAAGATCCACAAAAGCTCCAAAATTTACAACATGCTCGGAAACGGGAATCAGCAACTGTTAGAGTATTGGAGCCAAATTGGATCGAGGTGGAACAAGACGTGGGAAGTTTTTTTTACAGACAGAACGCTTATGGTAACTTTTAGTTGTCTGCAGGGTATTGCTCTGAATCCGAAGCGAGCGAGGCAAACGCGCAGAAAAAAGGAAAACACGTCATTAGGAAGCTAAAAAAGAAACTCACTCACAGCAAAGCCAAAACCTCCAATCTACAACACACACATAGAGATCTAGTAAGTGTGTGTTTTCATCTGAAGCAGCGACAGATCTCAGGTCAGCCTGTTGCTGTTTGCAGGGAGAAAAGTAAAAGCTTTGTCACTGGATCTGGGTCTTAGGTACAGCTGAAAGATGGCTGCGGGATGACTAGTGGTGTTTTTGTGCTTGAGTCAACATTCACAAACGTGTCAGTCCCAGAAACTGTGACCTGAGTTGTTTTCCTCGTAACTGGAGGCAGGTTTGCTCGGTGGATAATCAGACGTAGAGTCTGGCAAAGATGAAAAGGAGAATAAAGGATGAGTGGAGGGCAAATATGGATGGAGCTTGAAAATAATCAGAAATCTCTAGAAAAATCAGCCCATCTTGAACTAAATACTCACGTATTCCTCAGTAAAACAAGACTGTTGATCCTTCACCAACAGTTCCATCGCTCCTTTCTGCTCTGCTCAACGCTCACCAACAGAACCTCGAGGTTTGTCGGGAGGAAAGTGATGCTTATCTCTAACAAAGAGAGGCGCGGCATTGTCTGACGCAGCAGGATTCCTCCACAAACCGCCTGTGCATGCAGCGCTCTGTGCACGCTGGGGTGCCTGAGCACACGAGCGGGATTGTCACATCTCGCCACATGCGCCGTCGCCGCCTGCAACATTCCAGCCTCCCAGACTGTGACTCAGAAAAAAAATAAGAAACGAACATTCGTCACAAACTATCATCACCTGTTCACAATTACAGGTGTTGGGTGGAAATGACAGGTTTTGTCATGAAAATTTTAAATACTCGTCTTTTTTTCACTTGTCAAGACATTTGAAGTTCCTCTAACTTAACATGAAGGTAAAGTGAAAGTTCATTTAAAGGATTCTGTATAAGCGTCAGACTAAAAGCAACTTTTTTCTATGAATTATTAGGTTTTTTAGCCTGTCAGTGTGTTTGTAGTTCAGTTCAATTTCCCACCCTACTCTTGCCATATAGGGAGCCTAACCCCAAAATTCCACTATCTCCGCTCCGCTCCGGCACAAACTCCGCAGCAGAATCGGTCCCGTTGTAGTCAATCAGAGCTGTTCCACTACTGCGGCCGTGCTCCGGCAGTGCGGCACAGTGCGCCGCCCGCCGTTCCGCCATCGGGCAAAAATAGGATTGATCCTATTTTTGCCGGACGCCGGAGCACCTCCGCAATAAATGGACAGAAATCACAACCGCCCAACAGGAAAGGGAGCAAGCACAGCTTCCGTTATTTCACATTAAATCAATAAACAAAATGCGTTTTTTGTTTCATATGCACAGGTTTAACAACTTTTAACTGTCATGTTGTGTGGTAGATGCCTAACCCACGACATACAGAATCAGTCCACAGAGTCAAAGAAGATCGCAAACAATAATTTATTAGAAAAAGAGAACAGAAGGAGCTGCTAGGAAGTCTAGCAGTATTCGGCAGAGAAGCGAGGTTCGGGTGTGGAGAATCCTGGAGGAACAGGGAGAGTTAGGTCTGGCACTCGGAAATCTGAATGTTGGATCTGATGGAACTTACAGGTTGGAGGTGAGACCTCGTGAGAGAGGGAGGAGGGACCGGTCTGGGGAGGGCAGGAGGCTTACTGGAGGCTGATGAGCTTGGAGTCCAAATGAGGAGGGAGCTGAGCATGAAGGGTAATGGTGATCCAGGAGGGAGGGTGGGCAGCCTGGAGTGGGAAGACCAGAGGAGGACGCTGAGAGACGAGTGGACAGTGAAGAAACCAGGTTGGTAGCAGCAAACGAGGTGAACTGATAGGTGATATCTGCAGGAGGCAAAACAAGCAGTCAAAAACACAGAGATCTCAAAAATCAAAAATCCATAACCCAGAAATTCTCAAAATCAAAGCTTAGTTTGGATTTGGCTGTTAGGAGAAATACCCAAGTTGAGTTAATCATCCAGCGAAGTGAAGGCGTCTCTCAGGAGCTTAAATATCCCTGGCCAGCTAATCAGCAGATTACCTGCAGCCTCCCAACTTCCAGGCACGCCCACCTGCAGAGGAGAGATGAGACTCTACACCAATTAGTGTGTGAAAAAAAACCCAGACCGTGACAGTACCCCCCCCTCAAGGGACGCCACCCGGCGTCCTGGCAGAGGAGGAGGAGGAGGCAGACCGGGCAGCCTCAAAATCCCTAATGAGGGAGGGGTCGTCAATCCAGGACCCCGGGACCCATTGCCTGTGCTCGGGCCCATAGCCCTCCCATTCCACCAGATACTGGAGACCTCGGCCACGACGCCTAACGTCCAGGAGGCGCCGGACCCGAAAACCGAGACCCCCATCAGCCAACCGAACCGGAGGAGGAGGAGCAGGAGGAGGGCAAAGGGGACTGGAGGAGACAGGCTTCAGGAGGGAAACATGAAAAACCGGATGTACCTTCATATGAGGGGGAAGCTCCAAACGGACAGACGAGGGATTGATGATTGAGGAGATGGTGAAGGGGCCAATGAACTTGGGGGACAATTTCTTGCAGTGGCCCTTCAACGCAATATCCCGGGTCGACAGCCAGACGCGCTGACCAGGCACATAGACTGGAGCCGGCCTCCGGTGACGGTCGGCCAAACGCCGGTTACGGTCAGCAGTCCTTTGCAGGGCCTTCTGCGTGGCTGACCAGGTACGCTTTGCACTCCTGAGGAACTGGGGAATGGAGACGACTGAGGAGGGAAACTCAGAAGGGAACAGGCAGGGCTGAAAACCAAGGGAGACCTCGAAAGGAGACAACCCGGTAGAAGAGGAGACATGTGAGTTATGGGCGTATTCGATCCAGGGTAGTTCTAAACTCCAGCGGGAGGGGTTGGAGGAACATAAACAACGGAGCATGGCACCTAGTTCCTGATTCATCCTCTCACACTGGCCATTAGATTGAGGATGAAATCCGGAGGTGAGGGCGACCTTGGCCCCGAGACAGGCGGCAAAATCCTTCCAGACTCGAGAAATGAACTGGGGACCTCGATCAGAGAGTATTTCGAACGGAATGCCATGTAACCTAAAAACGTGTTTCACCAAAAGTGCAGCTGATTCTGCAGCTGAAGGGAGGGCCTTTAAGGGGATGAGATGGCAAGCCTTAGAAAAACGGTCAACTACTGTCATGATTACTGAGAAGCCACGAGAAGGAGGCAGGCCAGTTACAAAATCCATGGCGATGTGGGACCATGGTCTAGACGGAACGTGTAATGGGTTGAGTAAGCCAGAGGGTGATTGATTACTGGTCTTATTGCGGGCACAGGTCTGGCAGGTGGCAATGTACTCCTTAGTGTCCTTAAACATAGTTGGCCACCAAAAAGTCCGTCTGATCAATGCTACCGTACGACTAACCCCAGGATGGACAGAAAACCTAGCTGTATGCCCCCAGTGGATTACCTTGCTTCTGACCGAAGGGGGAACAAATAATGTGTTTGGGGGTACCTTGCTTGGGCCCGGAGTGGTCTTGAGGGCCTCAAGTACTTGGTCTCGGACCTCCCAGGTTACGGACCCAATGACACAGTCAGGAGGGAGAATGGATGCTGGTTCTGGATTGGAGTCAGCCGAAAACTGTCGGGATAGGGCGTCCGGTTTGATGTTCTTAGTGCCTGGTCTGTAAGAGAGGACAAAATGGAACCGTGAAAAGAACAAGGACCACCTAGACTGTCTGGGATTCAACCTCTTTGCCTCCTTCAAATAGGCTAGGTTTTTGTGGTCTGTCCATATGATGATGGGGTGCTCAGCTCCCTCCAACCAGTGCCTCCACTCCTCCAGGGCGAGTTTCATGGCCAGGAGCTCCCGGTCCCCCACATCATAGTTTCTCTCGGCTGGGGAGAGGCGCCGGGAAAAAAAAGCACAGGGGTGGAGACGGTGGTCTGAGGGAGAAACCTGGGATAGGACGGCACCCACACCTGTATCCGATGCATCCACCTCGAGTGTGAATTGCCGAGAGGGATCTGGTCGGGTAAGAACCGGTGCTTGAGTAAACTTGTCTTTGAGTGCAGAGAAGGCACTCTCGGCTGTGGAATCCCAAACAAAAGGTCTCTTGATGGAGGTTAACCGAGTCAGCGGACTGGCAATCTGGCTGTAGCCCTTAATGAAACATCTGTAGAAATTTGCAAAACCCAGAAATCTTTGCAGCTCCTTACGTGTTGTGGGTGTTGGCCAGCTCTGTACCGCTTGGACCTTCTCAGGATCTGGTCCCAGTCTCCCACTCTCCAGAACAAAACCCAGGAACTTCACACTCGGGACATGGAATTCACACTTCTCCGCTTTCACGTAGAGGCGATTTTCCAAAAGGCGGTGGAGAACAGCACGGACATGTTTGGAATGCTCTTCAGGTGTCCTCGAAAAAATCAAGATATCATCAAGATACACAGTAACAAACTTGTTCACAAAATCAGCCAAAACCGAGTTCACCAAAGACTGAAAAACAGCTGGGGCATTGGTGAGCCCAAACGGCATTACCAAATACTCAAAATGTCCCACTGGTGTCTTAAATGCCGTCTTCCATTCATCACCCTCCTTTATTCGGACGAGGTGGTATGCGTTCCTCAGGTCGAGTTTGGTGAAGATGGA